AACATTCCGGGGAAGGTGGGGGTCTCCGTCGTTGAGGCGACCGACCAGAGCTGTGGCCACAGGGTCGTCGGTGCCTGTCGTGGCGACAACTCCAGAACCCGCTGATGGACAACGGTTAGGGATGCTGTCAAGCTGAAGAAAGAGTCCTATTGGGTCTTTTTGACCTGTGATACTCCAGAGGCAGCTGATAGGCGGAAAGTGGCTCGGGTGGTCGCGGAGGCCAAACCCCGGGCGTGGGAGGAGTTTGGTGAGACTATAACAATCACCCCTCTAACTTTAGTTCAGGTGTGGGACTGCTAATTCACATATGAGGGTATTCTGAAAGAACAACCTCTGAACCCAACATATTTAAATATAGGATCACCCTCTCTTGGCACCAAAGGGTTTCCGTACAATCTTCCCTGCCAAAGACACAAAACACCAACCACTTCAGATCTCCCATGTATGGTTCTTTTGTTATTCAACTTGAATCACATGACATTCAAACATGGCTTTGGTGTATATCTCCCTGGAAATTAACCCCCTAAATGTCCATCTACAGCGCCACCATAATGCGCCATAATGTGCTTAGGAAGTCTCTGATTGGTGCGCAACACACCGACCCGAATGCAACCGAAGCAGTCCAGAGAATTAAAAGGGGGAAAAAAATGCGGCAGCTAGCAAAAAATTGAAAATAAGTGGTATACCACAAAAATATGAAAAAAAAAGGTCAATCTCACCGGGTTCAGCAGTCAATGACCCAGTACATCCACCGATCTGGCTCCGCTGATCAGCGGTGAGGCAGGTGATCTGGAGTGGTTCCTCTCATTCAGCTGGAGAGCGCAGATATCAAGGCACGATCCAGTGCGGGACCATCGGGGGGTTTCTCTCTGGCTTAAACCCCTAATCTTATTTATTATTATTAATCTTCTTTTTTAACAGTCACCCATAGACCTACTGAGTTTTCCACTCAGTTACGTGGTAGACCTTTAGTTGGATAACTAATCAGGCTGCAGCAGATTCACGCTGACACCTGCACCACACCCATCCGTGCTCAGTTTTTTTTTCTTCTACCTCCACACCTGACGCAGCCCTCTCTTATTAGCGGGTGTGGTAAACAACACAAATACACTGATGAATACATGAACAACCCCGATTCACCCAATCACATACAGTGGAAAAGAAAATCACAGTGGCACAGTTTTACAATTATACTCTGGTAATTGTTTAGACCATTTTCTCACATCCTCTGTGCAACTATTAAATATTTTCTTTTATTTTAACACTGATCTAATGTAGTGATGGCACAGACCCCCCCCCCCCCCCCCCCCCCCCCCCCCCCACCCCACCAGAGGCATCGGAGGTGGAACCCCAAAGTAAGGATTCAGGTCGACCACACTGACAGTGTGTCTTTTTGTTTTGGTCCTTCCACTGTATTTGGTAGTTGATGGGGCCTAACTGTCTCAGCACAATGGCTGGCCCTGACCATTTAGGCGCAAGCTTTGCTGAGAACTGTTCAGATGCTTTGGAGGATGGGTGCGTGCGAACCCAGACCAAGTCTCCCAACCCGAACGGTGCACTTCTCCGGTGGGTATTATAGTACTTGGCTTGTCTGCATTGACACACTGCAATCCTCCTTTTGACTTGTTCCACCATTTGCTTCTGTCTTTCTAAGAGCAGATATGGTGACTGTTGAGGTTTAGCAGAGGTATTGATAAGCCTCTCAATGGGGCCTTTCAGGAATCTCCCAAGGTTCAGCTCAGCAGGAGTTCGGCCAGTGGTCTCCTGGTAGGCCGAATTGATGGCAAAACGGAATTCCCTGATCCACTGATCCCAGTTTTTATGTTTATTCCCCACATAGGATGCGATCAAGGCCTTGATGGTCCGATTGGATCGTTCTGTGAGGTTGGCCTGGGGGTGATAACTGGTGGTGAATTTCTGCCCAACACCCCAGGCCTTGCACAGATTGGCCACTTCATGGCCAGTGAACTGTGCACCCCGATCAGACACCAACTCCCGGGGAATTCCAAATCGGGTAAAGACCTCGTCTTTCAAGATGGTCACTATACGATGAGCCTTGGCATCTTTTAGAGGAAACATTTCCACCCATTTTGTAAAGTAGTCCACGACCACTAGAAGTATGGTGTTTCCTTTTTGCTGCGTGGAAAAGGTCCCATGAGATCCATCCCCAGCTTCCCCTAGGGTTCTTCTGCAGGAGTTGGCTGCAGGAGACCAGCGGGTTTTTGGTTTTCAGGCTTGTAGACTTGGCAGATGTCGCAGGTTTTCACTTGGTTCCAGACATCCTTTCAGACTGATGGCCACCAGGCCACCTCTAAGACCTAGAGGAGGGTTTTCAGTCTTCCCAAGTGACCACTCAATGGATGGTTATGAAAATAGGTAAGAAACACATGAACCTGGGCCTTGGGGATGACCAGCTGATATTTTTCTCCTACGTCCTTCACGGGACTACGTCTGTACAGGAGGTCCTGGAGCCTTGTTAAGCCCATTCGGTCATGTCTGATGTTGATAGCTGCCTCCTTAACCATCACGGCGATTTCTGGGACCTCGTCTTGAGCTTCTCTTATTTCATGCAAAGAAGATGGCAGATCAGGGCATTCGGAGGTGGATACGGCCACATAAGCATTCAAGCTGGGAATGGCTACTCTGGACAAGGCATCGGGCACAACGTTATGAAGACTTTGCAATATTTGACCTGGAACCGGAACTGTTGTAGTCTCAAGATCCAAAGAGTGAGCCAAGAAGAGGTCTTGGGACAATTTAAAAGCCCATGTCTTTGGACTAATACAGCCCCCTAGACCCACATTGCTGGCATCTGTATCAGTGGCGGTGCCAGTGGGGCACTAGGGGATCTAAACTATATTATATATATATATATATATATATATATATATATATATATATATGTATGTATACAAACATAAATAGCAAAAGAAATTGACGTATTGTCTACATTGTTTCCAGACTATCACTTTTACAGATTTCTAAAAAGAAATCACACAACTCCTGAAAGGAGGAAATCTCCAGATTGCGGCTTTAATAACCACATTTTCTAAAAGTATAGGGAAATATCACATACTTGCTTTAGTTCTGCATAGACAAAAAAAACTGACTAAACAAAAATTATTTTCTCACAAAATCCCTTCCAATCTGGTTGAAGCCTTTTTTTTTCTCCCATTGCACGAGTGCCTTTCTTTCTGTAGGCCATAAAATAATCCTGATTTCTTGTAATTTCCTCAACTCCTGAGCTCTAATCATAAACACTTTTCACCACTCCACCTCATTCCCTTCAGGGCAACACTCCACTTCATGGCTAGATTGAATATTCATAAAGGCTCCACCGATTTAAGATGACACATGGGCATCCGCCTTTGCTCGACATATGCATAAAATGTGCATTAACACGGTTTTATTTCTGTCTCACTGTTAGGGAGTGGATGTTTATGGGATATTAAATGATGTCCGTCCCTTATGAGAGGCCAAAAGATTCTGTATGATCTCTCAAAGTCCCCGAAGATCATAATGTACAACATGCATGAACGACAGCTCCCAAAGGTTATCTGATGTTGTGCACGGCTTCTGCAACAGTCTTTGTAGTGCTTTCCCTCCAGTCTGTCACTATAGAAATTGTCAAACACAGCATGAAGCATATGGCTATTTCCCCGGACAACTTTGTTTCTTTTTTATACATGGCCTAGAAATTTCTTAAACCGGTGAGCCACAAAAATGTCCTCTGGGAGCATGAGATACAAAGGAATTTGACAGTCCATGGAAGCACAAAAATCAGTCATTGTGCATCATTCCAGAGCCTTGGCTCCAAAGACATAGCTGTGACTCTCTAGCGCCATCTGTTGAGACACTTCCACAGTTGAAGGCAAACATTTAGTGATTAGAGATAGAGAAGAAGCACCCTAGCAAGAAAGGAGCATTAAGGGGTTGTGCACACAAATGTCAGCCGAGATAACGACTCACAGGCTGCAGATGATTCTTACATAAGACTCGTAATTCCTTCGAACGTGCTTGACTGAGTTAATTAATGAGGGCTGGGTCAACTTTCTCATTTGTCTAGCAGAGGAATCTTATAAATATCCATCTGTGTGCTCTATTTGCTTATGCTCATCTCGGATGAGGGTACAGTCTGTTCAGATCATAAGGCCGTCACAGAGATAACACTTCTTACAAGCACGTCAACACCTTCAGGCTGAGAGCATGTGTCACTTCAATTCAGGTGAACTCTGCGTGGAGGGGGTTACTTCCTACCAGAGATCTTTTATGTCAGCGCTGCATTCTAAATGCCAGACTTCCATCACACCCTCAAATCTGCAGGTTCATTTGAAAACCAGGAATTGCAATGCACAAATTAACTCCAAATGTACTCTGAAAGCTGAGCACCTTCCCTTCTAAGACACAACTCTTGATCAAGAATCCCCCCCCCCCCCCTCCATCTGAGCGAAAACAAACGTTGTTGGAGCGATGCCGTGTCAAGTCTGTAAATCGTGTAATGCTGTCAGAAGCTCCAGATTGTATTGAGCTGCTGAGCCACAGCATTTTATTTATAACGCCGTTCATAAATCACCATCCAGGCAGATGCACTGAAGTCCTTAAAAGGATGGTATGCCAAAATCCTCAGCCACTTCCAGGATACAAAATAAAAATCCTCAACTCAGGAGTTTCGTTGCAGCCCGTATGCTCCACCTCCTGAGAAATCAACTCATTTTAGCAGCCAAATGCTTAATTTTCTCCAAGTTTGCTGCCAACTGTATGAGTGATTCTGTATAGAAAATGTAGAGAACTCATGTCTGGAAACACTTCAATGAGAATATGCAGATAAAACAAGAAAAGGCAGGACTATTGACGATCCAGAGGTTTTCAGTCCAAATGTTCTGTAAGTTTTTCATCAATGGATTTAAACCTCAGACTAAACAAGACTAAATAACATGTTGACTCTTACATTGAAAATGGTCAAATTCATTCACAAATTCATACTTAATTCAGCAAACAAGTTTGTTTCAAAGGATTTTATTTGCCAATTCAACAATGTGACATACAAAAAAAAATTCTAACTAAATCCAGCAAACATCCTCAGATCAAACATGTGGGCTGAAATATTTGTTTTTGACACTAAAATCTGAGAATGTCGTTTTACTAAAACAAAAAAAATCATCCGAGTCTGCAGTGAATAGTAATAAATACCAGAAAATAATCATTCAGAAATGACTATCACAGGATTCTTGTCGTCGAGATTAAAAAAGAAAAACCGCACTGAAAAACCCAAGCGTCTTCTCTAACGGGACCAGGTAAAGGTAACCGAGGGTACACAGAGTCCACTGGGCCTTATCTATCCGGGCGCACCATGCCCATCCTGATTGGCATCATCATTGGACGAGGATGACGCATCATGTGGGGCGGTCCTGGCATCATCTGCATGGGTCCTCCCATTGGTGGCCTAATGTCTCCTGCAGAGACGAGACACAGAGTTGAGGCACAGTTTTAACAGGAGGAATTGTTTTTACCGGACATCTTATGGAGACTTAACTCCTGCAAAAATGTTTTAAATGCAGGCATCTCTTACCAGGCATCATCCCAGGGGGTGGAGGCCCCATCATGGGCATCATTGGGGGGCCCCCCATGGGTGGTGTTGGCAGCATGCCGGGACGTGGAGGTCCAGCTGCATCGCAAACAGCAAAAGTTACAGTATCATAAATACAAGCAGAGTAAATCTGCCACAGTGTTCCTGACGGTTAGTTTTATAGCTGACATCTTAGTTTGACCTTTTTATACAATAAAAAAAATCATAACGGTCTCAAGTCAGCAAATTAGAAGACCTTGTGTCATGTGATGATAATGCCCCTCATCCAGAAGTAACCGTGTTTTTGCTCAGAGATCAATTAACGCTACGAGATGCTGAACTCACCTGGCGGGGGACCACCTGGGAAAGGAGTGGGAGGAATTTTTCCCTGCTGAAACGCAGCCGCTGTGTGGGAAAAATAAACAGGAAACATGAAAAAAAATGGCACCAAACAAATATTTCATGCAGAACATGAATCAAAGAATAATCTGCTGGTGTTTAAAGATTTAAAAGCAAAGGTAGTTCAGACTCTGCATATGGGAGAAAAAAAAAGTCCAAATAGTTATATTACGCATGACGTGATGCCTCTGCAGTAGACCGAACGCTATGCTGGCTTTGCCTCCCATATGGGAATTAGTGGATTGTAATCTCAGAGGGGGCCAGAATAAGCTGATGTATAGAAACAGTGTGTAATTATAACACACACACACACACACACACACACACACACACACACACACACACACACACACACACACACACACACACACACACACACACACACACACACACACACACACACACACACACACACACACACACACACACACACACACACACACACACACACACACCATGTGTGGGATATGTAACAGCCTTTTATCGTTTAACCAAGCTGCTAAATATAGACAAGGAAATGCATGCAGAGCTCACATTAGTGTGAACGGTTGACCACACAACTAAATAAATCATCAGTATGTTACTGCCACTGGAGGTCAGTTTCACATTTAAGCTGAGCTCACTGTGGCACACGAACGGTATCCAAAAGAGCTCTGAAAGCCAGAACACACTTTCACAATTCTCATCAGGATTTGCACTTAGCTAAAACGTTCACGACGTTTCTGACTCGTCTAGGCTTCGGGGTGTCAAGAAAAGCTCCGGATACCCAGGAGCAAAAACCTTGTAGCGACTCGACACTTCACACAAGATGCTAAGGCACAACACCAGACTTATAGTTTGAATCGGCTTCACTTCAACATTTACAAAAACATTTAAAGCCCCAGTGTGTGTGAAAAATTAGACTCTCTAACGCCACGCAGTTCAGAGTAGGTATTGCAGTTATGGTAGCCCACACGCATTAAAAAGGCAATAGGTCATCAATGACTTCCAGCTTTCAATCCAGCAATCAGGTTCGTTATTTATGTATTATTTTGTAAATGTTATCTAATATATGTGTTGAGTAATAAAAACAGAGTCAGAGGGGTGTCAGGTGTGAGCAGCCCAAGAGGAAGGAGCAGAATTTCCCCAAACTCGCAAGGCTGAGAGAACAGGCACCACCCCTATACCCAAAATAATTAGTTACAAGTTTTTATACACTGTGGCTTTAAGGAAAATGAAAGTTACTTCTTTTTAAAGGAATCTCATTCAGGTTTCCTGCATGTCTCCAGTTTGAACCTTTTTGACTTTTCCAAACTTAAATTGATTCATTTTCTGGTCACTTTTGAGAACCAAATACAACCATTTCCTGTAAACGTAAAATTCAGGTTTTAATAAAGATTCTTCTTTTTGCAAAGGACATACTTTTATTTATTTTTAATTCAGAGTTTAGATCTGCATTAGTAGAAAGTAGAGTTAATTTAGTAAAACTACATTCCGGTTCAGGATAGGAATAGTAAAAGCTGCATCTCAACTGGGATACTGGGTGATTGGCAGGTTAAACACATCATGTAGATATAGATCTGTCTGTAGATAGACAGACAGTAGTCTAATATAAATATTAGTAGTATATATATATATATATATATATATATATATATATATATATATATATATATTTAAAATGCTAACCTGATCAGGTCCAGAGAAAGTTTTTTTTTCATACTTACTTGTTTTGTCGATCAAGCTCTGAGCCTGCTCCTCCATCCATTTCTGGTAGTAATCTTTAACATTTTCTTTATGTTTTCGCCCACTGCAGTGAGTTTTTCTCACTGATGGCTGAGAGAAAAGAAATTATTGAAAACAGAATAAACCATTTAGGCTGAAGTTCTTTTGACTAGCTAAGTGGTCTCAACACAGCAGTCTGTGCCCAATGTGTGCTCGGTTTGGATAGCTGAGGAGGAGTTGTGAACAGGGAATACAGCCAACTGGTGTTCTAATCCAGCTACAAACTAAACTAATTTGTCAACACCAATCATAGAATCTTCAAACCATTTCGGTTCTAGATTTATTTAATCAGTTCAGCAGACCCCCTTTTAACTCTTCTGTGTACACTTTTAGGTTATGACATGTGCTCAAAGAATGATATTCATCATTTTTAATCAATTTATAAAAGTGAAATATGTTGTTGACTACTGATGAATAAACCTGCTTTAACCACACATAAAGTAATACACATTTAAAAAGGTACATAAACATAACTTACTGAATCATGTGTAAGGTAGGTATCACAGTAGTCACAGTAAAACCTGCAAAAGGTTGAAATTTGGCAGGTTAACACTTTCAGAGTCACAGCTGTAGATGGAGCATGTACACAGAAGAAATATCCCAAACTGGGCTGGTAAAAAATTGTTTAAATGGTTAAAACGACTGTCCAAGTAAAGTAATTTATTTACCAGCTTTTCATTATTTAATATTTAGCTCCTACCCCTTGATTTTCAAGTGTAAATCAGAAGTTACGGTGTAACTATGGTTCTGTGAGTTCCTGGATGACTGCCAGGGGCAGTAAACAGAGTGGATGTATCTCCTCGCGCTCTGCGCAGGTCGAGTACTGATGTAAACAAAGTCACGCACGTGACACGTAGCGCACCTGGTCGCGAGTCTATAAATTACGCGCTGATAGCTACGTTCGGGTCTCCCGGAATCTTCTCGCCCGAGAAGTTCCGAGTGACCCCTGTGACTGGAACTCACAGAACCGTAACTTCCGTTCTGCTTCGTTCCCTCCTGACTGCCAGTGGCAGTAAACAGAGTGGATGACTTATGCTCGCAGTGTCACAAGGAACGTAAAACTTACCTTCACTCAGGAGGTAGCCGCCAGAGGCAGCACCACCGAAGCGAGCATGGACCCGTGGCCAACGTTGAGGCGGTAGAAGCGGGCAAACGTGCACGGAGTTGCCCAGGACGCCGCCGCACAGACGTCCGCCAGTGGCACGCCTCTCATCGCCGCCCAGGATGTAGTAACACTCCTGGTGGAATGGCACACGATCCCAGGGGGAGCCACTGCACCCACTGCCGCATAAGCCATCGCAATGGCATCCACGACCCAATGCAACAGCCTCTGCTTCGAAAGGGCTCGACCCCTGTTCACTCCTCCGTGACAGACAAACAGCTGGTTCGACTGCCGGACAGTGTTTGTGGCCACAATATAGAGCTGCAGTGCCCGGACCGGGCACAGCAAATTCGCCCGCCTTTGTCCCTCCGAATGAAATGGGGGAGGGAAATAAGCCCCCAGCTCGATTGCGGCATTTACGTAGCCAGAGGTCAGAACTTTGGGAAGAAAGGCAACGTTGGGCCACAGCGTCACCCCCGACCCATCTGCCTTCCACCGCAGGCAGGCGGGGCTGACGTCCAGTGCGTGCAGCTCACTGACCCGTTTAGCCGTTGTCACTGCCAAGAGAAAGGCGGTTTTCACAGACACCACTTCCAATGGGGCGGTAGTCATCGGCTCAAAGGGTGGCCCACACAGGGCCTGCAGGACCAGGGGAAGGTCCCAAGCAGGTGCCGGCCTGCACAAGGGAGGACGCAACCTTCTCACACCCCGCAGAAACTGGGTCACCAAATAGTGAGCCCCAATGCTCCCGCCATCCACTAAGAGGTGGTTGGCCGAAATAGCCGCCAGGTGTAACTTAAGGGTCGAGGCAGCCCGGCCCCTATAAAACAGGTGCCGGAGGTACCGCAGAACCTCATGCTGGAAACAAGAACCAGGGTCCACGTCCCTGCCGGAACACCAGGTAGAGAACCACTGGCAACAGCGAGCGTACGTGGCCCTTGAAGACGGAGCCCTGGCACTATCCAGCACCTGCTGGATGGAGGGCTCTAAGCCGACTGGGGGCTGCCTTCCCCCTTCAATGGCCACACTGTGAGCCGAAGATGATCTGGGGACGGATGCCAAATTCTCCCCTCCATCTGAGACAGGAGGTCCGTCTCAGATGGAGGACATTCCAGGACATTGATGTGAAGCCATGCCTGACGGGGGCTCCACAACCCCCGGACCGACCTGCTCTGCCAATGCGCCCCCCACCCCCGGGGTGACGCATCCGTCGTGACCACCTCCCGTCTGGCATGGAACGCGCCAAGCGGGACACCGAGACTCAGGTAGGCGACATCGACCCAACGACGCAAAAGAGCCACACAGCTGCTCGTGACCTCCAGCTCGACCCGTCAGTGTCGCCGGGGATCCAGGCGCAAGCCGTTGAACCACCTCTGCAAGGGCCGAAGGTGGAGCAGCCCGAGAGGCACCAGTGCAGAAGCCGAGACCAGCATCCCCAACAGTCGTAGCCACACCTGGACCGGGGTGCTGCCCCAAGGCAAAAGGCCCGGAGCAAAGACCGAATCCGGACCCTCCTCTGCTCGGTCAGCCTCGCCCGCATTGCCACAGAATCTATGGCAATGCCAATAAAATCCACCCGTTGAGTCGGAGCCAGAGAAGTCTTCTGCAAGTTCACCATCAGTCCCAGCGCCTCGACGTGGGCAAGGACACTGGCTGTGACCAGACCCACTTCGCGACACGACGGCGCACAGATGAGCCAGTTGTCGAGATATGGCAGGACCTTCAACCCCGCCCGACATAGGGGGCACAGGGCTGCCTTCACGCACCGCGTGAAAACTCGGGGGCGAGGGACAAGCTGAACGGCAGAACCAGAAACTGGTACACCCTCCAGAGGAAAGAAAACCGCAGGTACTTCCTGTGCCCCGGATGGATCGGGACGTGGAAGTACGCGCCCTTGAGATCTATTGTCGTGAACCACCTGAAGGACATTGCGAATCTGAAGCATGCAGAAGGGCAGCACCTTCAGGAACCGATTGAGACCCCTGAGGTCCAGTACTGGCCGCAGGGGCCCGTCCTTCTTTGGTAACAAGAAATACGTTGAATAAAAGCCGTCTGCCTGCAAATGCGGTGGAACGACCTCTATGGCCCGTTTGTCCAGGAGACCATCTATTTCCTGCATCAGGATGCTGACCCGTGTAGGATCTGTGACCGAAGTCACCCTGACCCCCGAAGAGGGTGGGGGCCGACGGAGGAACTGCAACCTGTAGCCCTGGGACATGGTTCGAACCACCCAAGCGTCTCCGCATTGGGCCTCCCAGAGGGCCAGGTGCTGTGGTGAAAATCTGCCCGTCGCCAGCCCACGGCCCTCAGGTCATGTCCCGATGCCTGTTCGGGGCCCTGGGTGGGCGGCGGCCCCTCTCCTGCCCCGAGGATCCCCGGGGCGGTGCCTGACCTGCCCCCGAGTGTCTCCACGTCCCTGCCGTGGCAGCGGTCTGCTGGGTGGCTTGCAAGAGGTCCGCCGGACGAAACCGGCGCCGAGGGTCCCGTGCCCCTTGTGGCCTGGACTGTGGCACAGGGAGGACCCCTGCCCCGCTACGCCCACTCCAGGCCTCTGCGGCCTGTCTGGACTGCCGCCGACGTTCCAACTCTCTCTCAGCCTCGGGCCCGAACAACTGGCCCGGCACCACGGGCAGTCCACGCAGGCTCTGTCGGCAGTCATCAGACACCGGGGCCTGCGCCAACCAGACCTGACGGCGAGCCACTACCAGTGTGCCCAACAGCCGACCAAGCTCCCTGGACATCAGCCCAAACGCTTGCAGGGCTGCGTTGTTTGTATCGCCCAGTGCCATCCCCGCTGCGCCCGACTGCAGCATCTGGGACTGGGCTAGCAACAGCACCGACAGCGAATTGCTGGTGCGCGCCATCCTTGCCCCGATGTCTTAAGCCTGGCACAGTAAGCTGTCGGTCACCCGACACTGTGTGCTCGGACAGCGGACCCTGTCCCTCAATGCCTCATCTGGGGAGAGCACCAAAGAAGCAACGAAGTGGTCCACCGGGACATGCGGTCCAACCCGTAGGTTCCTGTCTCCCGCATCGATGCCAGGGTCCTGGCATCCCTACCGTGGTGGGAGAGCTGCCTTGGGTCCCCCCAGCACCGCTGCAGCTCCTCCACAAAGGCCGGCGATGGTGGGACGTGAAACGGGGGCGCCGCCGGAGCCCGGCGGAAGAAGGGATTCCCCGCCGGACGGGCCACCGGACCGTCGTCCAGTCCAATCCTGGCCAGTGCCACTCGCAGAATCGCCCGCAACTGACAGGGATCCTCCTCCAGCTCCAAGCTTGCTGAGCTATGGAGAGACATCCCCGAGTCCCCGTGACCTCCCAGGCCCGGGGGCTCCACTACCAGCCCCTGACTACGACCCGGAGAGGGGCCCTCCTCTCCGAGGGACTGAAACTCAGAATTTGAGGCCCTCATAGAGATCAGGTCATCCAAGCCCCCCTCGTCCGGGGCTCTGGTCAGTAGCGCTTTGAGCTGTTCCACCTCCGCCCACAAAGTGTCCACTTCCTGGCGAGAGGGGTGCGCCACACGCCGCTTCTTGCGCCTCGGGCTACCGCGTTGCTCAGCCGGTCCATCCCTCCGTCTCCGGGAACACGGATGAGGGATACCAGAGGGCAGCAGGCCTGACTCAAACAGGAGGCACTGTACTTGACTAGCCTGTCCTCCCGCACCGCCAGCGGCAAAATGCTGCAGTTCATGCATGGGTCAGTCAGTGCCTCTCTGAGGTGACCGACGCCCAGGCACTTTGGACACAAGTCGTGGCCGTCCTCCACCTGGAGGGGAACCCCACATGACGTACACGCCAACATCCCTACTGATGTGGGAGACGCCAGTGACTACACAGGAACTGAGCGAGGACTTCAAGGAAAACTGAAGAATGTGATTCAGTCCTGGAGTCGTTAAACAGCACACAATGTGTGTGTGTGTCGGCTGGGTAATCTGAGCGTGCCACCTCCACGGTCAGAACATCCAGCCCCACTTACCTGTAGCGCTCGCCGGCCGCACCCCCCTCCCCTTTCACACAGGAGAAAATAGCGACAGCCAGCTAGCCCTATCCGAGCCGGCAGCGGCGGTCCGAACGGCGCCGGCCGCACCACCCGCTCTCGGTAACAATTGACAGATAACCGCGTCAATCCACCGCCCCAGAGGGCTCCTTTGGGCGCTTCGACCACCCGGTCTTGGGCTGGATGACGCCAAGTAATAAATGTACTCACCTCTAAACCGACAAGATCCGAATCACGGACTTACGGAGCGATTGACCAGCAAAGCACGCCAGGTCAACAGCGAGAAGATCAAAGAGACCCGAACATAGCTATCGGCGCGTAATGTATAGACTCTCGACCAGGTGCGCTACGTGTCACGTGCGTGACTTTGTTTACATTAGTACTCGACCTGCGCAGAGTGCCAGGAGATACTGCTACTGGCAGTCAGGAGGGAATGAAACAGAACGTCCCATTACTGCACAAAGCAACACAATTTTTTCTTTTGCCTTGAAAACTATTCAACAAATAACTGCAACCACGTTGTAAAATATAAACAAGCGTAAAGCTCTGCACGACACAGGCAGGAAATATATTTAAAATATAATTTATTTATTCAAATTAACCCTTTGATGCATAGTGGTCACTACAGTGGACAGGTACTCAAAATTGTTATTTCTTTATGTTTGCTATTAAGCACAGCTTATGAAGACTTTATTGCATGTGAGCCCCTACATTTGGACTTCAGTAAGTCAAGCCACCATATTTCATGTTCAGAATGCACGCTGTCCACTGAGATGGACATGTAATAAATTATTTGTAAATTAACAAAATGTTACAAAAATATTTGTTGGAATTTGTTTCATTCACACCTAAAGATGAATGAAAAATAATTGTTTAAAAAAATCATGGTTGAAGATTTCATAATTCATGCATCAGAGGGTTAAAATACTTGAGATACGTCGTAATCTTGTTAGGAACTCCATATAACGATTTTTTTAGGAAGGGCAAAAATGCTGTTACTCAAAATTAAATTAATAAAATAGGGTTGGTAAAAATATACATTAGCAATGTGTGATGCTTAAGTGCTCATGTAAACTGACAGACGTTTACACAAAGGTTTGTTTCAGCAATTAGACGGATCCCACAGCAAGTAACATCATCGTATGTAAACACAAATGAAAGGTTTTACCATAAAAACACATTACTCTGTTATTTTTACAGGTTAGTTATAAGAGACTGAACTAATACAGAGTATGACAGATGACTAAGAAACAATAATAATGGCGATTAAAACTCACTTCGGCATGTTTCTCAGTAGACCCCGCCGAGAACGCGATTCCTGTGCTCTCTTTAACTGTTCCGGTCAGATTTCAGTACAGCTGAAAAACAGTTCCGGTAGACGCTAGTGAAGAGCCGCCCAGGTGTTCAGTGGGTGAATATGCGGAGAGTCTATCTTTAAAAGCTCTAGTAAGCAGCTGATGCTGCGTAACCAGCTGGTACTGCATTTAGACTCAGTCTCTTTCTACCCCCTGATGGACAAGGGTCAAGCCTGGAAAGTCCTAAAACACGATGGACAAGGGAACGCCACCAAAACGATCTTTTATGTAGCTCCTCTCAAAATAAAAATCACGACGCGCAAAAAATAATAATAATAATAAATGAAAAAAGGGAAAAAGAAAATTAATAAGAGGTCCATTCATAGCTACTGGCACAGACCAATATCTGCATCTTTGATGCACGTCACCCACTAGAACGCAAACTGTTATCAGAATGTTCACCATTTCTTTCTAGCAATACACACACACACACACACACACACACACACACACACACACACACACACACACACACACACACACACACACACACACACACACACACACATTCTCTGGTTGTCCTGAGCTGAGGATGGGAATTCGTGATTTTGAGTGATAAACCAATGAAATATTTTATTATTATTATTATTATTATTATTATTATTATTATTATTATTATTATTATTTATTTTTTACTATTTTTTATTTTATTTTTTTATTAGATAAACCAATGAAAATGTGTCTACAAATAGCAACAGATGACGTCAAAAATGACGCAGGTGGCGTTGCAACGTCAAATATCGTCCCCTGTTCGTGCCATGCGCACTGGCGGTTGTTGTTGTTGTCAATGGTTGTTATGGCTGGACTAGGCCTCGGACTCTACTGACAGAGGACCAACGCACCACCCCGTCTCAGCCACGGGACAACCGCCACCCATGGAGGGCACGGACATGGACGTGGACGCGGAGCTCATGCAGAAGTTCAGCTGCATGGGCACCACGGACAAGGACGTGCTCATATCTGAGTTTCAGAGGCTGCTGGGTTTCCAGTTGAACCCTGCCGGCTGCGCCTTCTTCCTGGATATGACCAATTGGTGAGCGCGCGGATGGGAGGGCCTACTATCCAGCATCAACATGACGCTAACATAGCTCTGGTGTAGACAGAAAGCATTTGCTGATAGGAAAATAAAACATGGAGGTTGTCACAATGCGGGGTTTATAATGATTAAATACGAAATGGGCCATTTAACTGTCCGTTACGGAAGTGGCTGTTAACTCTTAAGGGGCGAATAGAGCGGAAGTGAAATGGTAAAGTTTGACTGAGAGTCTCTCTGCTATAAAACAACAAAGAAGGTGGTCCAAGAAGCTAACGGAAGCTAATGTTGACAGAACGGTGGGTTAATATATATAGTAAGTCGCTGCCGCGTTACATAATTATGTGAGGAGCTAGTTAAAGTGAGCTCCATGTTAGCGCCAGTCCTGTATGGAAAGCCAATATAACACATAATGAACTAAGAAAGCCAATATAACACATAATGAACTAAGCATAAGCAGCAATGAATGGTACTGCTCTGTTCAAACGAGGATTTCAGATATTCAGAAAAGTAATTTCAATTTTGTTTTGAGATTTGAGTTCCAGACACACAAGTAAATTACTCCTTTTAAAAAGTATTTCAATCCTTTTAGTTTCATTTTTTAAATATCAGTAGTTGAAACATTTCGGCACCACTGTTGTAGCAACTGAACGTGCTATTTCCATATAAAAGAAACACCCAAGTGGAAAGACAAGTTAATCATCCAGCTTCCCTTTTCACTCACCTCAAGTCATGTAATGCAACATGACTTGTTTGAAAGCTCTGAATCTGTCTGATTACTGTCCAATCACATAAGAAATGGCTGTTATGGACTTTGCTTTAACAGGTTATGGAAGCCATGACTGTAGAACTACACTTAAATTGTAACAAGGCATCTGAAAAAAGAGGAAAGAGATGTAGTATCTTCTCCAACTAGGCAGTCAAGTGGTTTTGATAGCTGGATGTGAAAATAACTTATAGGTATGTTTTTCTTTCAGTTCAAGCAAGTTGCCTTTTGAGAAAACCCACTTCAAAGGTCCCACCCCTCATGCCACACTGTTGGCCCAATTGTTGTTGTATTTCTAACAAAACGCACCTCTGTAGTTATATAAAAATTGACTATGCTAGCTAATATAGTGTGATGTTTTTATGGTGAAAAAAATATGCAGTTTTTCAACTTTCTTGGTTTTTGTTAAGTTCGAAATCACAGCATCTCAGTGCCACTGACAATCTGGAGAAATCCCCACAAACAGCAGGCCAAAACCTCCAGAACCCACCTCAAATCTCCTCTCACCTGCTCTCCCCATCTCACGCTCTAAACAGAACATGTAAACGACAATTTAAATGGAATTTGCAAACGACAAACCAAACAGAACATTCTGTCCATGGCGCTAGGCAGCTCGGCTCGGGCTTCACTTCCTGTTTAAGCGCTAAAAGCCAAAAATATGGGTCTCACGCGCAGAGGGGGGGAGACACGCCAGAGGGAAGTTCTACAGGTGGATAGCCGTTTAGAATGATGATTGGATGAGGTGATTAAAATTATGACTTGTTAACAAAGCATTTCATTATTGGTTGACATTGGAATGTGATGAGCATTTCAAGCAATATGGACAAGAATGCTCCAGAAAGAAGAAGAAAATATCTTTTCTATAGCGCCTCTCAAGATAAAAATCACGAGGCGCTTCACAAAAACAAATAATGTAAAAATATAAAAAAAAGAGTTTAGAAAATGATAAAAAAATATATATATATTTTAAATGAGCAAAAAATAGACAATTGTGATTAAAAAATGTAGAGAGAGAGAGAGAGTGTATAGGAAAGAGGGAAATTAGTGGATCCTGAGGAAGGTGGTTTAGGTAGGGAGAGCAAAACAAGGAGAGGGTGATGGAGGTCACACAAAAGCCAGCTTGAACAAGTGAGTCTTCAGCTGCTTTTAAAGAAGACCACTGAGTCCACTGATCTCAGACTCAGGGGGAGAGAGCTCCAGAGTCTGGGGGCCACAGCAGCAGATGATCTGTCACCTTTGGTCTTTAGCCTGGTGCTGCACAACCAGTAGGCTTTGGTCACTGGACCTCAGGGACCTGCTGAGGGTGTAGGGACTAAGAAGATCACCAATGTAAGATGGTGCTTGTCCATGTAAGGCCCTATAGACCAGAACCAGGATCTTGAAATGAACCCTGGAGTTGACTGGCAGCCAATGAAGCTGGAGGAGAAGCAGGGTGATGTGGGTGTGTTTGGAGGACTTGGTCAGAAGCCGAGCACAGGCATTCTGAACCACCTGTAGACGGTTCAGGGAGGTTCTGCTCAGACACGTGAAAAGAGAGTTACAGTAGTCTAAGCGTGAGGAGATGAAGGTGTGGATAACTGTCTCAAGTTCAGAGCGGGACAGAATGGGACTCAGCTTAGCAATGTTCCTGAGATGGAAGAAGGAAGAGCGAACAAGAGAACTGACATGAGAATCCAGGGTGAGAGCTGGGTCAAAGGTCACGCCAAGATTCCTGATGGAGGGTTTGGTGTGAGAAGCAAGCTGACCAAGAGAGTCTCTGACTTTGGGAACCAGCTTGTCTGGGGCACAGATGAGGATCTCAGTCTTATCTTCATTCAGCTGAAGAAAGCTCTCAGCCATCCAGGTTTTAATAGAGTCTAAGCAGGTGTGTAACAGCTGCAGCTTAGACATCTCATGGGGCTTAAAGGAGATGTACAGTTGGATGTCATCTGCATAAAGATGGTAGGAGATTCCTTTGAAGGAGCTCAGGATGTGCTGAAGAGGAAGCAGATAGAGGAGGAAGAGCAGAGGCCCCAGCACAGAACCTTGTGGGACACCATGGGTAAGGGAGGTGGTGGAGGACCTAAACTTGTAGACAGCCACAGAGAAGGAACGCTTAGAGAGATAAGAGGAGAACCACTCCAGAGCAGTTCCTGATAGGCCTACCCAGTCTCTCAGCCTCTCCAGTAGCAGGTGATGGTCAACAGTGTCAAAGGCTGCAGTCAGGTCCAGCAGGACCAGAACAGAACAGTCCCCTGCATCACTGTGAGTCAGACAAACAATCAACTGATTATGAGGACAATTTGCCAACTTAACAACACTAAATCAGAACTGCGGGAGATTAATTATGGTGTTCCACAAGGGTTGGTCCTTGGACCTAAACTGTTCATACTATTTATTAATGATCTTACTCGGTACAGTTTTATTTGCTGATGACACAACATTGTTCTATTCAGGGTCAGATATTAATGAAGTAACTAGAGTGATAAATGATGAACTGATAAACGTTAACAACTGGTTTGACAAACAGACTTTCACTGAATCTTAATAAAACAAAATTTATATTCTTTAATAACAGAGACACAAAGATATAACCATAAAAATAAATGGAATGGACATTCAAAGGGTGAAAAAAACGAAATTTTTAGGAGTCATGTTTGATGAAGCTATCACCTGGAAGTCACACATACGTTATATCAGAGATAAAATTGCCGAAGCCATTGCAGTACTACATAAAGTTAAGTTTTTACTGAATAGTTCTGGATTGCTGACATTGTATAACTCACTAATTGTTCCATACTTGAATTACTGTGTAGAAAAATGGGGATCCATGTGTAAAACTCATACACAACCACTGTTTATTCTACAGAAAAGAGCATTGAGAATCATTAATAACAATCACCATAGAGATCCATCCAATCCGTTATTCATCAAATATAAACTACTGAAATTTTATGTTCTAGTGAATGTGAAAATATTGCAAACAATGTATAAAGCTAAAACCAATACAGAAAATGTTTGAAAAAAGAGTCCGTAATTATTTCTTAAAAGGAACTGAAGTATTTAAAAAACGAAATTTAGAACCAGAATGAAGGAAATGTCTATCTTTGTAAATGGCATGAGAAAATGGAACAACCTTAGCAAAGACATAAAAGAATCAAAGTCACTAAATATATTTTAAAAATGTGTCAAATCAAGTGTATTACAGAACTACAATAACCTAAATTCAGTTGTCTGTAAGTTACAAGAATATAAAATGAATCTGTTTTGTTTTGTTGTTTATTGAGAATTGTATGGAAGCATTATTAAAAAGTTTGGTTTGTAAATAGGGGCAGATAATATAAGATATTTCTTCCTTCTGTCCCTTTTCATTCAAATTGTTTGGTGTTCATGATTATGTATGCTTTTTTTTGTTGTTTGTGTATGTATGTGTATATATATATATATATATATATATATATATATATATATATATATATATATATATATATATAATTTTTTTAACACTTTGAATGAAACAAAAAATAGAAAAAAAGGGTCATTAGAGACCCTAAGAAGAGCATCTCCCTAAGAAAAGCATCTCTTACTGCTCCTCTCATGGAGTCTGCATTTAAGGATTATTTTCTTGTGTGAGTCAGACGTTAAAACTCCCATCAAGTCAAGTTGATGCCATTTTGAAAGTGAATCATCATGAAAGCAAAGTCCTTGGAACAAACTGCCTGACCTGTCTGTGTTTAGTCATGTTTCATCATCACTAGTGGAATATTCATTGCTAGTGTTTGAATGGTGTTGACCCTTGATAACAGTTTTTGTTTGTTTTGTGATGGAACAGGAATCTACAGGCTGCTATTGGTGCATATTATGACTTTGAAAGTCCCAACATCAGCACACCATCTATGTCGTTTGTTGAAGATGTGACGATCGGGGAAGGAGAGTCTGTCCCTCCAGATACACTGTTCACAAAAACATGGCGAATACAAAACACAGGTACTTCTGGACAGACCAGCATGAGTAAACTTTCTATTTTCTTATGGTACAGATGTTTGTTTTTTTAGCGATGTTTGATATTGTCGGTCTACCATTAAAGGTGCATTATGTAGAATTTATGAAAAAATGACATCCTGTGGTAAAATGTGGTTACTGCAACCACTTTAAACAACTGGAGCTTTTTGCCAGCTGTCCTCAAATTACAATTGTCGGCGCTGCAGTATTAGCTTGCAGGAGACACGACAACCCCACGCTCACTGATGGTAAACCGTGACATCCCTCCTTTCTTTGTTTTGAAAGGAGAAAAAACGACAATCCCCGCAGCCAGCAGGATATGAAATATGTTTCAGTATAACCTTCCTTCCAAAATTACTCATTTGGGGTTTTCTCACTATATTTTTACATATTGCCCCTTTAATACAGCAAAAAACTTTAATATTGATATTGATTTTCACTTTTGTAATGACAACATTTTACATACCATACATCAAAATCTTCAGTTACTTCTACTCTCTCTCTCATAATGTCAAGTTAAGACAGATCTGAGGTAAAGTTTTTGAGATATTTTAGTTTATGTGACACAACTTCCGTAGAAACTTGTCCTGTACAGTGAACGTACACCGTCTTCACAGCACATAGCTACGTGTAGCTCGCCAGCTAACAAACGACTAAAACAAAACAACAATCTTCACCTAAGGCTTGTTTTTCTTAAGATCTTTATAAATGTTTTATCACCATAGCTGTAATATAGAGAAAAATAAAATAAACATTACTAACACACGTCTTAGCATCACACTTAGGGAGTATGAGATTCAGCTGCTGCTGGAGACAAAATACACATAGCACTTTTCCTGTTACTAACTTAAGTTGAAGTAGTTGTCATTTGGCACGGAAAATTTTTACAATTTATATATATATATATATATTTTTTTTTTGTGTTCGAGTAAGACCTTACCAATGGAAAGCCTTAAGAGTCAAACATCACAGAAGTACTTCATCAAATTGTTTCACCTCCAGCAAAATGGCACATCGGACATTGTTTAATCGCTGAGCGAAGAGGTAAATGTATAAAACAACAACTTTTATGAATGGCAAAAGTTTCTTAACCATTTCAGTCGATGCGTTTTGTCCTTGCGGGCTCCTTTAGAAGGAAGGAAATATGTCATCACCCAGAGACATATATTTTAGACCCCATTTTTATGGTTACATGTTACAAAGCCACTAATATTTTGCAACACCTGGGCATCATATAATACATTTTCAACATAATTTCAATGGATATTTCCAGAGATTAATGGTAAAAACTATACATTGCCACTTTAAGAGTCAGCAATGTACTTACGTGGGTGTGATTGTTTCTGTATTCTATGTAAATTGTAGGTGCGGCGTCATGGCCACCAGGCGTTTGTCTCAAGTATATTGGCGGGGATCAGTTTGGGCATGTGAATGCAGTGATGGTGAAGTCACTAGATCCACAGGAAATCTCAGATGTGAGCGTGCAGATGCGAAGTCCCACAAGTCCAGGCATGTATCAGGGACAGTGGAGAATGTGCACAGCCACTGGGTTATTCTATGGAGGTAGGAAGTTACAGCTTTTTGTTATTCAGGACCAACATTACTCTGCTGTCATATGCCGTAATCCTGTTATTGTTCCTGTTTGATTTGTTCACAGATGTCATCTGGGTAATTCTTAGTGTAGAAGTTGGAGGTCTGCTTGGCGTCACACAGCAGCTTTCTTCCTTCGAGACAGAATTCAACACACAGCCCCAGCGCAGTGTACAGGAAGACTTCAACCCCTTCGCTTCGCCACAGAAGAACAAACACGATGCCTCTGACGGCAGCTTCAAAGATCCCGGTGAAGCCTGGGAACACACGCAGGAGTCAATCCCGCAAGATCAGAATGGACTCTCTCATAATGCTGTACATAGAGCCTCAAATGGTCTCCAAACCAATTTTTCCATGGTGACTTATGGCCAGGTATGTATTTGGAAATAAAATAATTTTTGTAGTTTCTTATGAAGTGCATTTACCAGGTCAAGTAAATCCACTTAATAAATTGTTCCCACTTGCAGTGTCTGTTAGACACAAAGGAAATGATGACTTAATGAGAAATCATGCAATGCTTAAACTAACGGCTCATACAGAAGAACTCATCAATTTCATAGAAAATGGCTACAATTTTACTCTGAAGTTACAATTTTATTCTGAAGTTCGTAGCTTCACTCTTCTAGTCACATCTATGCATTAATCTGGCCCCGGTTGGAAAACACCACCGTAGCTATGAGTAGTAAATTATTTCTGAAGGTTTATTAGCAGGATTTGAATGTTTTTGGATGGATCCTGAGCTGAAAGGTGCCACTCTAAGCTGCAGATCTGTGTACTGTTACAGATATTTAAAATCATCGCACACCCAAACATTATGTAACATAACAATATGGTCATTTTCTGAAATGATGAAATGTTTTTGGAACTACACACACAGCAGTTTTAGAAGAAGAAGAAACAATGTTTCCTCTCAAGATGAATCATGACAAAAATGTTTAAACAAATCAGCGAATTCCACATAATATTAATTAATGGTGGGGTCTTCTTGTAGACAAAAAAGAAGAAACCATCTTTTATATAACACCTCTCAAGATAAAAATCACGAGCCGCTTCACAAGAACAAAAATAAAAAACAAGAAAAAAGGATTTAAAAAATATCATAAAATTGCACTGAAGCTCACTCGAATCATTTGGACGTAGAGTTGTCTCTGGCATCATGTGCACAGAAAGAAATTTTCAGATAAAATACTTGCTAGATTTGCTGTCTGAATGTGGTTTTCTGAGAAGTTGAGTAGAAACAAAAATCAGGATCGTTTTAAGGAACACAGTGTTGCTTAGAGCATAAAGTCCAACTGTCTGACTTCTGTTTATTTAGTTGAGTGGTTCTGAATTGTTTTCCTGAAGTTACTCGGGTTTAGGCTAGAAGTTTAAAGATAAAACACATGATTGCTTTGATAATTACTACAAATTCTACTCCCAATTTGGCATCAGTGTGATTCTAGATCCTGCGTCCGCCTGAGAAAATGTGGCATTGACATTAGCTATTGTTAATCAGAGGTCTTATTTAAAGGTGTGGTTCACTCATTTAATCAATGCATTTGCAGTGGAATGCTTTGTAAGTCACACGTTGGGGAAACAAAGCTCTGGTGCACCAGTTTCAGGAACTAGAAGTGAGCCACATTAGAGTCGAGCTTCAAATGGCAGGGGTTGGGGTCTTATTTCCTGATATTTGGATATCTCGCCCTAGATTGGATAACAGAAACGCAACTCTACAACTGACTGATTGTTCTGCAAAATGTAGGTTTTATCTCCACAAATAACACAAGCATGGAGGAGTTGAGCTGTGTGGTGGAGTTGCTAATGCTAATGGTTAGCTTCCACTAGCTGAAACTTTCTCTGCTGTTTCCTGAATGCTAAATCAACAACAGCCTTTCCTGTCGTGAGTCAAGATGGGCGAGTCCACAAATATTAGTGACAGTGTGACGTATATCTGTCAGGATTTTCTAATCTTAAAGTTTCACCGTCTGTTTTCTATCAGAAGCTAATGCAGGAGATAAGTGTAGGAGACTATTTTCATGTTCAGCCTGCATGGAAAACTCAGAGTGATGGATTATAATCAGAAATAATAATTAAAAATTAGGACTGCACAATATATCGTAAATATATTGTTATCGTGTTATCAGCATGCACAATTTGCATATCGCAAAGAACAGATAAACATCGTAATGAATGGTCAGCTCAAATGTTTGCTACACATGATGCAGTCTGTCAGTCAAACGGAAGCATGATGTTTTTTTAACAAATCAAATAGAGCTCTTCACCCATTTGGCCAAATGGGTGGGTTCTCATAGGTTAGATGCCCGCCTCCAGTACTTAATTTTGATGGTTAGCAAACACCTGAGTTAGCTTTGTTCTGCTCTTTTTGCTGATTCTGCTTTTCCCGGGATCCACTGATTGTCTTTTCTTGTTCATTTTCTTTTTCCCTTTCCTCACATTTTTGCTTTTCTCATTTTTAATTTCTTTGTTTTAATTATTTTTGTTCCCGAGTTAAGTTTTTATTCATCGCAAGTAATATTGTCATCACAATGTTAATCACTGTTATCGAATATCACAGGTTTTCCTAATATCGTGCAGCCCTATTAAAAATGTTTTTTTCATTGTTCCACAATCAACTTTGACTTTAGTTTCATTCAGTTCCAAGTTTTTTATTTATTTATTCATTTTTTTAAAGAAAAAAATTGTACTTCCATCATTTATCCCCTCAGTTTTGATCCCAGTTTTAACTCACACACCCCTCTGAACTGTTGAAGCTGTTAGTCTGTCTGAATGTAAATTAGAGATGAAATCAAAAGGACAATGATCAGGTGGTTTCCTGTTAGAACTGCAAGCTTTGTTTCTCATCTGAGATCAAAGTGCACCTCACTGTTGTGGTCACCACTTCAATTCCAGTTTTGTTTTTAATTGAAATAGAACATTTCACGCTGTAAACTAACACATTTCCTCTTGTTTTTCAGGGTATTCATGGTCCCTATCCGTTTGGACAGAGCTAGAATAACAACGAGCACCCCCCACCCTATTCCCGGCATCCTGGGAGTCCTTAAAAGGCAGAGGAGCTGGACGGGGGAGAACCAGTTGTTTTATATTGACTCATGACAACACTCTCCTCAAGCCCCCTCGTGGAGCTTTACACAGAAACTCGGTCAGCAGAACGATGATGGATCACACGTGCCACAGAGCCTGACATGGGTTCGCATGTGTGAATGCTTCGTTTAAGAGTGCTGCGAAGCTTTAAAGACAGGAACACGTGACTATTTTTATTTCCACCAAACAACACACCTGGTTAAAGAAAAAAATCACCCATGGTTACCTACATACGGTTTGTGAGTCTCTCTCATTTGCTGGGGTTACTACCCTCCACTACCTGAACATGAACATGGTGGTCTTTTGAACACCAAGCCAAGCCAGGGTAGATTCAGACAGTTGTGTGGAAAAGTCTTTTAGAATGCTGGAGTCCATCTCAGAGGCATCCTAACTCTTCGGTCCCATTCGCTGTTGTTCCTAAAGAGGATAAAAATCGTAAGAGCTTCTCATTTATTGGAAACGTAACTAAAGGTTGTGGCGATTGTTTAGACAGATTTCTTTTATTTTAGGCGTTTCATCTGTCTCCCAAAAGGTATTTGGACAAAAATGAAGAAGAAAGTTGATGTTTCAGATTTAAAATATCACACTATAATAGTTAAAATCATCATATTCTTCTGTTTGGACCTTAAAGTTGTCACACTAAGTGTTCGTACTTAAATGTGCTTAATTTTTTTTTTTTAGCCCAACCCGTGAACTCTGATTGGATTACGTCATTTGTTAGCTTTAGTGTGAAAACATTTGTTTTTAAAAGATGCGTTCACAAAGATTGTATATATTGGATGTTTTTGGTTTTACTTATAATAGAATATTTGCCTTTTTAGGGGAAAATATCAACAAATAACTGAAAAGCCAAACACTAAAACCTATTTGCATTACACTCAAAGTATTCTGTCATTCTGTTTCACAAGAATCTGAAAAGGTCTTTGTGTCTGCGGTTTACGGGAAATTATTTGGGATGTCTTTGGGAAGAGATACTGGTCCATTCTTGTGTAGGAACCCCGTTTCTCCCAAAGATGAAATGTGCACGGGAGCGGGCAGGACCAGGCCCGTTTTTTAGGGCCTCGATTGGTTCATGCAGCACGAGACCGGCTGCATTTTTAAGGTTTTCACTTTGAAGTAAACGCTGAAAAGGACGCAAGTGCGTTAGAGAAAGGTATGTGGTTGAAAAAGCCATTAAATCTATTTTGCCTGATGAGTGACTAAAATAAAAAAAGATGTGTGTTTGAGTGCGCATGATTTTTTTTTTCCCTCATACTTAACTGAAATAAACAAGTGTATGCTACTTGGGTAAAGGATGACTGGACACACACCGTTACTAAGAGAGCTTTAACAGTTGCGTACCTCAGAAGTATTTTTTTCATCAACTCTGCATCATTTGGGTGAAGTGATGTAAGAGCACCCTTATCTTATTTATTTGCCGTCTATTTTTGTGCACTGCAGATTCAACGTGTCCCCTTTTACTACCAGTAGGTGGTGCTAAAAATCAGAAGACGACATTGTTCTGAGTATGAGTTGTAGTGTGAGTGGTATAGCTTCTGAACATGAGAATTAATGAGTTGCATCAGCTTTGTTTGTGCTTTTCTGTTAATTGCTATTTGCACTATGATGTCAACACTTTTGGAAAGAAAAAGACTATTTTGTTGGGCTTTTTGTGGACTGTGACACCAGCATTTTCACCCTGAAAAACGTCCGTGGGCTTTGTTTGTTGCTCTGTGTTTTCCCAACATGAACTTTTCACACATCCGTTTGGTTGCTGCAGAAATGTCAGATGTTAAATACGAAGATGACTTTACCTTTTGTTTTCACTGCCTGAATGAGCTCATCTTCAGCTCTGGGGTGTCTTTTTTTTGTCTGGATGTGTTCTTCGTGTATTTTTGGTTTAAAATAAAAACAGAAAACATTATTGCCAGAACTCCACAATACTTTTTTATGAAGAAATGTTCAAACTGACTTCAAACTTATTCATTCTCATTTTTATCCAATGCATTTACACACATCTGTGAATGAAATCAGTTTTATTGCCAGTTCACATCCCAAACAGTACACACTAAACTCTATGGCCTCTTTAGTCACGTTTACTGTGTGTGTGTGTGTGTGGTTCTTCCTGGATTTGCTGGTCGTGTGTGAGAGAGATGAATATTACAGAAGTTTGAAAGTTGCTGGATTTGTTTTCTACTTTTAGTTTGTGGCTGTGTGGACTTGGGACGAGTGGCATGGTGAGTGGATAGGATGAATGTTTCCTTAGTCCTAAAATAGAACATTTATCCGAAGAAGAAAATGTCAAAGTTTTTTTTCTGTATCTATTATTAAGCATTTTTATGAATAAATTGACACAGACTAGAAAATGACTGAGTTGTCTTTTTTTAAAAGGGGTCTTGGATGATTTATATCCTCCTCCACTTAACTGAGACACGATGGTTCAGGCTGAACTGGGAACAGCAGGTGCGTGTCCACACCACAGCCCAGGGGGCCATCTGCAACCCTTTGAGTGAGTTTGTGTGGCTCTCAATTGCATTTCCAGAATGATGAAGGTTGTCTCCTGTAGGCTGTTGATGCGGCTTGAGACTTTCTAGCATTTATATGGTCAGATTTTTACTTGTATGCTTAGTTTGGGCCTGTCTGAGGAGTACAAATAAAAAAGTATCATGAAATATGTTTGTATGCTTTAAAGGTCTCAGTTACTCACCTTTTCAGAAAACATGGGAGTAGATGGTTTATGACAGGAGACCAGAGGTTCCATCACTGAAAAGGAATGTGATTATTGGTATTAAGTTATGTATGATTGAGTTAAAGACAAAATGTTTGTTTTTCGGTTATTTATTGATTGTGTTGGGGCATTCACAACAATCTATTTAAGAATAGAGTAAGAATGGCAATATTTAATGACTGTGTTTTCTTAAATTATGAGTTAATCCTTAAAATATGATTTGAGAGTGTGCACTCAACTCTTCGTGGTCTGTCTCCTTAGCAGGACGGGGCAGCAAAGGAAGATGCAAATCCAAAGTGCTGCTTAAAAGTTCTTGGAGTGTAGCATTTATAGAAGGAGGGATGAGGCTTAGAGAAGTTATGTGAAATTTGGTTTACTTGGTTGATTGACTTTAGATTTATTTAAGTTTAATGATTTGTATTTATGTAAATATTTACTGCTACCATTTTAATGTTAGGTATAAGTAAATATCGTTTGGTTCTTGTTTTCTGATTACCCTTTTCTTGGTCTCTTCCAGTAATCACAGAGGTTATAAAGGCAGATTGGTTGTTTCTGGGTTGATGTGACATGGTGCTTCAATGAAGCAATCTCAACCTTACTCATTGTTTTCTCTCTGAACTGGAGCCTCCGCCGGTCAAAGACTGCCATGGTTGAATGAAAAACAACAGATGTACGAGTCAAACTCATAAATATTGACCCTACGCAAATGTCTTACCTCTGGTTGGATAATAGCAATGAAATCCCTCCAATGCCTCCATTCGCTCTTCTTTCTTGGATAAAAAATAATGCAACATTGATGTTTTATTTCCACAAATAACACAAGCCAAAATGAGCTGCTAATGCTAATGGCTAGCTTCTACTAGATGCAGTCTGCTCTCACCTGGCTGCAGAAAATTAGTGATGTGATGCTGATGAACGAATCAAATCTTTTGAACAGATTTTCAAAGTGAACGATGACAGCCGAGTCCTTGTAGATAACCATTCATTTTGTCTTCCAGTAGTGCCGCAAATTCCACCCTCCGCGAGCCCTCATGGACATTGGCGAAATGCAGCCCACCCCTCCTCTGAGTGCTGTCATAGGAGGGATATGTTGCTTTCTCTCCATCCTCACAGCTCCGCTTTGTTCAAAAGAGCCAGCATTAAAGTTTAGTTATGGGTGTCCTATACCAGCTGGTTGATCAAAGACATAAATCATATTGGGCCGTCAGAAGGAGGAAATGCTGAAAGAACAAGATGCACGTGTTTCGTTGTTTAAAAAAAGGACTTGAAATTGGAAGTTTCAGACTTGGGACTTGCCCTCTCTGCTTTAGTGCAGCTCTTGTTCCAACTGTGAGTCAGGACATCAAAAATGGCCACCAGCAACATTTGGCTGCTATTCTTTCACCCAAAAGCACTCGGGAAAGGATTAGGGATCATGAAGGAAGGGGGAAAGTTGACTGTTCTGGGGTAATTATTTCATCTTGTAAAGAGCTTTGAGTTGCTCTCAATGAATGAAAAGTGCTTTAGAAATAAAGTCCTGATTGATTGATTGATTGATTGATTGATTGGTTGGTTGGTTGGTTGGTTGATTGTGTAGGATTTGGTAAATTGAGTGCTTTAAGAGCTCAATATATTACCTCTACTTATGACCAATAAGCCGTGATACTCTATATAAATATAGAATTTCAACCTGCTTGGTCTTTGGATGTTTAATCAGAAGATTCTAGGATTCTTTGTTTTATTCAGGGATTGTAAACACTTCATTTTGATTCAAGGAAAGAGTCAGGTTTGTAAAAGTAAGAATTTATTGTCCAAACAATTAAAACATGGATGAATTTAGATGGAGGAGATGTGGTATATGGTACCTATGTGTGAATGCAATGTTATCAGAACTTCCGTATCTAGGAAAGCTGAGTTCTGAGTGTAAAAGAATTTGGTTTGTGTTAAGCTATAAAGTTGATTCTTATCAAAAAGCATCAGACGCAATCACACTGTGTTCTACCACACCCTTCTCAGAGACCCTCTTCACGGATCTGGAGGTCATCGAGGTTGGATGACCTCTGAGCACCCAGGTCCAGTAGATTGACCACAGCGCCGACTTCTCCAGTCCAGAGATGTCGCCAGGCGCACAGGTTGGATGGAACCATTTGTGTCTAGACTCAAGGAGTCGGAACAAAATCAGCTTTGTTCTGCAGGAACCGTTTGCTGTGTCAGCTTTGCAACAACCTTGACGGCGTGTCAAGGCTGCTTCTTAGTTAAAGAGACTCCACAACGGACGGCCCTTTCCGTAGCTTCCTCTAGAACTCTGTAGAACCGGAACACTGACTGATGAGAGCTGGAACTGGAACTGCTGAATCACCAGAGTGATTCTGTTTTAATATTCTCATGTTATGATTTGTGTGGCCAATCGGAAGTTGACATGTTGAGGAATATTACCAAGACAACCTCAGAAAACACGCCTTGTCAGATACCAAATGCTCTGATCTGTGGGTAAGAAATATCTATGTGTCACGCGTTTAACTTAACTTTACTTTGTCCTTGTGTGAGTGTAGATGGTGATGGCCTTGTCATGTCAACATTACTGATCCATATACTATAAATCAATGTAATAATAACATAACATTCATTTGAAACTTCAGTCATTCAAGCAGAGATTAATGAAAGCATTTCATTTATCTTATAATTATTATAAGTGACAATAAACAAGCGTTTATTTTATGATTATTTATCTTATAAGTTTTAAAAGTTCTTCTGTCTTGTGCTGTGAATAAAAACCAGTCATAGATAAGTGTGAGCCTGGAAGGACTTTGAAGCAACAGTGTCTCCTGTAGATTAGAGCTCCAGTTGGAGACTTACAGTATGTCTCCATATGACCGATACTGAAGAGGTGACCTGTAGATTGAAGAACAGACCATTTCCGGAGGCTACAATTGATTGATTGATTAGTTGGTTGGTCGGTCGGTTGTTCGGTTGGTTGGTTGACTGATTAGTTAGTTGGTCGTTCGGTTGGTCGGTTGGTTGGTTGATTGATTGATTCAAGGTTGGGGGAGATTGTCAATGATCTGGTATTCATTTAATTTTCCCATAACTGCTCCAACAGTTGATCTCTTCTCACCAAGCTGTCAGCCTTTTGTAGATTGGCTCATCCCAGTCTTGTACAGGTGTAAAATATTGACCCTGACGTCCTTAGACAGCTCTCTGGTCTTGGCTGTGGTGGAGTTTGGAGTCTGAGTGTGAGGGTGTGGACAGGTGTCTCATAACACCTGCAAACAGGGGCCAATAATATTGAGTGAAGGATAGAATAGCTTCTTAACAAAGAGACAGGTCTGGGTGGGCCAGAATTCACACTTGTTTGTAGGTACTAAGTACTTGTTTTTCTGCACCATTATGCAAAAGAAAACTTTAAAAATCATACAATGTGATTTCCTGAAATTTTTTACACAATCTGTTTGACAGTTGAAGTGTACCTATGAAGAACATTTATGATCTGGAAAGCTTGTACAATCGGTGGCTGTTAAATACTTTTTGCCCCACTGTAAATAAAAACCATCTAAAGGTGAGAACAGGTACCATTCAGGCAAACAGTTCCACGTAATTTCTGCACAGCCTGCATCTCTGTGTATTTAGGGGACAATTAATTTCACTTTGTGACAGACTTTCAATGAAACTTCCACATAGGTGGTATGGCACCTGCAGCTACATTGTTTTGTTGATGACATTTGTCATTTCCCACTTAAATTACGTTGCATTGCTTTTGTGTTTATATCCAGATAATCATAATTTTGGAAAAAACAGATAGGCTTCATGTAGTCCAGGTACAGATTGTGTGTGTGTGTGCGTGTGTGCATGCATACGTGTGTGTGTGTGTGTGTGTGTGTGTGTGTGTGTGTGTGTGTGTGTGTGTGTGTCCTTGGTGCTCTAAGGTACTTGAATGAAGCTTGAATGGGCCTTGTGCACACATAGAGCAACAGGGAAACTGCAGACAAATATTGACTTTTGTCTCAATGTGAGTTCTGCCAAACCTCCTATCACCCATCTCATCTATCATCCCACTTGTGTCAATAGTTCTGTGTTTGACAACTGCCCATCAGCTCTGGCACTTTGCTCAAGGGCTGAGGGAAGTGCAGAATCATCAAGGATAGATCAACTCTTTTAAAGTAATAACATGTATTTGATCATTCTTCTGATCATTTCTTTCATACAAATAAAAACTCCAG